GACAAAAGTTCTGGCCCATGGAAAGCGTCTGACTTTTTTGATATTACTTCAGAGTAATATTCTACAAATTATATATAAAAATCAGTCATTAAAATTTAACTTAAGTTACTCTGATTTTCAGTGACCTTTCTCACCTGGTACATGCGCAGGTGTCACCGAGCCAACTCCACAAGCGTACAGGTATTAAAAAGCACACCAGAGACTACTTAGAACCGAAGGTTCTATGCTTTAGAAAATAAGTTGTGTCTTATCGCTCTGGGATCTTACTCTAAAAAGTCGAATATTTAGTGATACGTTTATACAGCAAAAGATTTCAACCCTCTTCGGATTTATTAAAAATTAAAAATACTGTATGATGAAATAAAAAAAAAGATTTTACGCACGCAAAGTACGTGACAAAATTTCTACATTATACGTGTTTGTACCTTCATTTATATAGCTATATCCTATTACATATACAAATACATTAGGCAATCTAATACATTCTTAAGGAATGTTAAGAGACTTATGTTTAATCTTTTAATAGTATTTATTTGTTGTCAGTATATTTTTTATTAAAGTGCAATCAACTTATATTATTGAGGGTGTACCTTAAGAGGTGTTTTACGGCTTCATTAATAGGTTAATGAAAATAATAAAAACTTAAGATATTCTGGAACACTCTGTCTTTTTATTTAATCATCTTTAGAAAGACGAAGGAGGTTTACAATAATACAATACGACATACTACAAGCATTAAAGGCATTAAAGGCTGTAGGAAATGCGGACACATTAACATACATAATTATATTTAAGAATAAACTGTCATCCAATTAAGGGAATTGATAACGATTATAGTAGTCTACCGGATATCCTTATCAAAGTATTTTTTTTTTTGGTTCCGTTGCAGGTGTTTTTTGGTAAAGGCTTTTTTTGGTAATATTCTTAAGCACCAAAAACACGCACTCGCGGGCCTACTGGCAGTGAACATCAGTTAACAACATCAATAAATATGGGTATGGGTGACTATCTCCAAGGTCTTTTCTACTTCGCGCGTGAGCTATACCCACTAACCAAACACTCATTTGGACCTAACACGAAACTATCAGAGGCCGATAAATACTATGGAAAAGTTTCATACAAAAAGCCTTCCACCAACCCTAACCAAGTCGTTGTAGTCTCTCTCCCTTACTAATTACACTAAAATTTATATATTCAGTGGCTTAGACGTAAAAGCGATACAAGCATATATTCGATCAATACAAGGAGTCATTATTTATTGAGTTAGTTTGAATAGTATTCAATAAAATCAGTCTACATTATTTTAACTTAACTGCGTCTCTTTCTGACATATTTTGTTTAAGGTGTAATGGAAAGGGATATACTTACTTTAGTTAACTAATTATAACCTTATTAAACAAATAATGTAGTTGTTAATTTATTTGTTTTCATGATACCTCGAGTAGAAAATACCTAATTCGTACTTCAATGCATTTTTCAAACAAAGGCTTTTTGTTGTTTGAAATATCTTGGAAATATATCTTTTAGTTTCACTAACAGTAAAGTGCCATAGATAGCTGCCAATAGTCCACAGATGATATAAGTAACCTTTTTTTATTAGATTTTGATGTTTGTGATCCACAATAAAGAAATTGTACCGCGTAATAAAAGGACAAGACCGGTCCTTGTGGCACTTGTGGGAGGACGACATTCTAAAAAGTCTGATAAATTGTAAACTTTAATTGTACAGGACTGGTTTTATAGGAGCGACATAAGAGCGTCATTGTTTACTGTTACATCTTATTCAGGACGTATAATCCTCAATTGTTTATTTAGAAAACCTTGCAACTTACTAAACATAACACAAAATATTTTTTTTAAACGCCATTAAAAGATTTACAGATTAAACAATAACATATACGGTGTACAAATATAAAATATATACCTATATTTAAATGTTATGTTGGTTTGTATACGCTTCAAAAACACAAAAAGTTCTGCACCGATCGAGCTGAAATTTTAGCATGATATAATATAATCCGCATCAAGGATTGTTTTTATCTATTTTTTTTTATTTCATTTCCACAAGTATTGCAAAATTAAACTTATTTGAAATGTTTTCTTTGTTTTCTTTCTCATTTCTCAACCATTCAATCACAATGTGCCACAGCGAAGCGTGGCAGGGAACAGCCAGTTATTTAATAATAATAAAACATTTATTCCGGGCTCATAGATCCGTATAGCGAACAATTTTACATAAGAACTATGTTAGTTACTTAAGCCTTTGGCAAGCTTTATGTAGTTCTGCCAAAGGTAAATAAAGGCTCTCAACGAATTGAATGTGAGTCGTTTGATTTTAGTATTGAATAGTCCATGTATCGAGGAACGCTATAAGCTTATTATTATATAACTATTTGTTCTTAGTGATCCATCAGCCCATCTTCCACACAGCTTTTATATGACATATTTATGAACTTCCTAATTCTACTCCCAATGGGATAGAATAAGACTCCCACCATCTCGTCACATGTTTCTTTCATTAAACCATAATGTAAATAACAGTATTATATATTAGAGGATTCTGATTCGTTTCCGTATTTATTGAACCTTGTTTGAAGTGAACGATTTAATATTGTCGCCAATTAATTTTGATTTAAAAAAAACAGTCGCGCAACAACCTTTAAGTTTGGGCCTCAGATATCTGTATCTGTTTCGCAATGATTTATCTTTCCTATTAGACAAGTAGATTATCAGCCTTTAGTGCCTGACATATTTGCCGTCGATTTTTAGGTCTAAGGCATGCCGGTTTTCCTTCACCGTACGAGCGAGTGTTTAATGCGCACATAGAAACTTCCATTGGTGTGCTTCGAACGCACGCTCAAACCACTGGGCCACTGCTCATTGTGTATCAACATTAACTGTATACATTTATGCAGTAGAGTTACTATTAAGTAGGGTAGAGCAGATGACTATACGAATTTAAATAAAATAATATATGTTAAATAGTATATATAATAAAGTCAGGAACCTACGTGACTACTTTGAACCTTTTACGTGAGTTGCATAACTATTTAAAAACGTATAAAACTTAAAAATCAACTTAAAGATTAGAGACACTATAATTTTATACTTGACTCGTAATAAATTGGTTGTTGAATAAAATGCTAAGCAGAATATCGTGCTCCGATGGCATGATAAGGATTCGCACGACTTGCAACGGGAACTGTTCCACAACATAGCCACTTTAGCGCTTTAGTTATAAAGTGAATCTATGTTTTTTTATCGATTTATAAGCCGGTCCACGAGCGATCATATTTCTTTTTTTGTTTTATTCACTCGATGCCAATGTTTATTTTGAGTAAAACGTGCTTATCTTTGCGTGTTTTACTTTACACGTCAAATGCATTGCTTCTGCAATACGTACTCGTATAATATGAAACAGATTAAATTGTACAAAATAAGCGATAATTTGCTGAAAGGTTTTATATGAGCAACTTGATCCAAGATGCAATAATCCCTCGAGATACGGATGTAAATATGAACAGCAAGTTGATAATTTATATTTAGAACACTACGCCTTTTGAGTGCGCTTTAAAAGTAAATATGCGACTTGGACAACTGTAAAATCTGATGAATACTTTAGTGAAACATCAGAATAAAGTAGACTAATATTAACTCTTTGATTTTTTTAATTTGTGTTATTATGCTTCTGTTGATTATAGTATAATTGTTGATTTATGCGAGTTTTACACATAAATTAAGAAGATAATTTAATTAAACGTGATTAGCAAATTTATAACATTATTTACATTACTAAGAGATACTTTTTGAGTCTCTAGATGATCACGATTGTTCAATGCACTTGTATGATCATTAAATAACTAATTATTATTTTTATTTATTTGCTTTCCTTTTGCTCTGATTTTATAGAAATTTTTAGTCTAAGAAAATCTATTGCACCACAATTGCCATTCATCGTTCATTCGTTCGTAGGCAAAAATGATGCAAGTATTACATAGGTACAACGTCAATTTCGGTCAACTAGGTGTATGCGAAGAAAAAGAACGTAAGACAGAAAATATGTAGATTATGTGAAACTGATTAGGCGACGAAGACTCGCAAGTGGCAAAATTGTAAATCAATATTGTATACTATTAATAGGTTGTTTACAGTTTTCAATGCCCTATTTCCTGTACACATTCCTTACTTATTACTATTGAATGCACTTTATATAAATAAAAATGTTGGGAGATCTAAATAAAACTTTAATGTTTTGCAATGTATAAAAAATATAAGCAAGCAACTAATCAATGTTTTACCGATATTAACTTTCTGTACTTATATACACAAGCCTAATTCAATGAAGTCTAATTCATTACTTATAAAAATTATGCGATGGATTTAACGCATTAATCACTTAGTAAGTACTAACGCTAATTACATTTCCAATTTCAAGGTGAGGCCTTTATTACTCTAAACCAAGAACAAAGGTTGATATCGCGTTAATTACGTCATTTCTTTTAATTAATTGAAAGCAATTTAATCAATCTTAGAATCTGTGTTTCATGATTCAACGAACGACCAAAGTTCAGTGGCTTACAAGAATTTGCGTCTTATGTATTGAATGTATAAATATATCACTGAATTGCATTAATTTTAATAATTAATAAGTCATATTCCCATTGTATACAGTTTTGCCAAGAACATTCAGTCTGATAACAATTGATAAAATTCGCGTAAACTGCACAGTGAATTCCAATTTCAAATGTAAGCCTCGCCTCGCACGTGAGGCAGTACGTCGTTAGCTCTTGCCCGATTAACACGTGTCGGTCATGGCGAGCAACTTCAATCGGATATTATCCCCCGATTACGACAGGATAAGTGTCTCGTGTGCGGCATTTTGATTATCCGAAACAATACTGTGACGTAATAAATGGTTACGGATGTTCGTCGAATGGATAAATAAACGTGAAGTGGAATGGAAACTTGATTTTCCTTGTGAAAAACTATAGTTGTGAAAAATGTTAGCGGTTAAAAACTTTTTTATGCCCGAAAAAAGGGTGGATTCACCTAAATTTTCTCGGATGCCGGAGGCTCTTATGCGGTCTATTCGACGGCGCTCCTTGCGAGTTAAAAGAACTAAATCTCTAGTTCTCGTTAGCGAGAAGAGGAAGTCTGGTGAGTGGTAGAGTATGATTTTTATTATTTATTTTATACATTAATAGTTTTTTTTATTTACATTACTCTACTCCACTGCCATTGTGTCCAGGGACTTTTACTATCTCTATTTTTTTTTACTTTAATACTATTGAATTGTTTTCCTTCTAAAAATATTTTGGTTCTTTTGTGTTGCTGACCGCTTAATAACCTTTGAAATAAATTGCTTTGCATTTTTAAGTATATATCTATAAGTTGAATATCGCTATACATCTTACCTCACCGATTACTTTCCATGGGATAGGAGGAAATACTAGAGTACAACATTACATCATCAGCATTGAAACATGCAAAGTATTAAGATGAATTTTAAGTCTCAACTCTGTGCATCAAAATGCAATTTGTTTTATTCGACTTTGTCAGCAAATAAAAAATGTACTTAAGTCAATTTAAAGTTTACTAAAATTTCCATAACCATGGGAGGTTTATAAAGCAATGGAAAATTTATTAAAAATGTTTGAATAATAATATCTTTCATACAAATATTTTACAAAGCCGTTTCGTTAACGCGCTAGTGATACTAATAACAGAGTTAGAATCGAATTAGGTGAGTCGAAAAAGCATATGTTGAATAAACGTTCGCGCAACCTACACTAAAACCACTATTATTACGAGAAATAAATCACTTAATAACGCTTAAAGACAAATATAGACTGAACGGGTTTCTCCTACGTTTAAAATAGCCTGCAATTGGCTAGAAGGCTTCATATTATACGCATTATTTCTTATCTAGAATTTACTTGACGTGGCTTCCTTATCATACATAAGTGACTTTAATAAAACCTTTTGTAAATTATAGTTAATGATGCGTTTTTGATGATTAAACATTTTGGAAGTAAAGCCTATTTTGGTCAGGGATGATAAGGGGTAAGGAATTTTTGAGTTTATTTCTTACAAATATATAACTAGACAGTGCCATTAAATAGTTTATTATAAACTACTTTTTCAGTTTAAGTATCGTTTTGAGCTCCAGCTTATTAATTTCAGAGAGAAAATAAAAGTGAATTAATTTAGTGAATTCTATAAAAACTTTATGACGCCAAGTCTCGCGTGTTTAAATGCGCACGCGCATGTGTGCTCAAACACGTGTTTCGTGAGTTTTATCACTTCGTAATTAGCGCCATGTTAATGTTTTAGTGTGTTAATTCCCACAGCAATTACTTTGCCTCTTGAAAAATCTAGGCAATTTTAGGATAACATACAATTATAAATACAACAAGAAGAGTAAAGTTAACTCTATTATACCTACTGAAACTAAAATATTCAATTTCTTTCTTGTGCTATATTTAGAAAGTAATATTTAGATCATCTCCAATCGACGTCATCGAATAATGCCGTCAAATTTCTCAATTATCTGGATAACAAATTATTGTTATTAAATTTAAAAAGATGTATGTGATAATCGTCCGTCTGTGGTATATATAGTATTATGTTTAAATAACGCCCTTCCAAGTTTGTGCGTTGAGGCTTTAAGTAAAGATGCAGACATGCTTAGGGCTAGTATCTCTTCTATCTGTCGAAATCCGATTAACAACGGCCAGAAAGGAGATTTATGTCGTACTCGTCTTTAGGTCTTACTCTAATTAACCGTTCTAAAATTGGCGTACCACACACGTTGACGCATCATCCACCTCTTGTGTCAAACCTTAAACAACGCTAGAACGTAGGACCAAAGAAACTCCCTTGTATAACCGCAAAACTGGGCAATTGGTTTTTATAAAACGTCTTAGCAATTTCAATAAAATAGGCTCCTTTCAAGCACATTGAATTTAACACAGACGAGTTGTCAACGCCAACGATAGCAGGTAGCAAAAATATTCCACCCCGAACGCCCGCTATCATACATCTAATTATTTTGCACCTGGCTAGCGCGTGCCAACCCTAATGTCAAACTTAACGTTACATAAGTTGCCTTTTATAGCCTGTTTATTAATGGTCGGTAGCAATTACAAGTATTTAAAAAGTTAATGGGCCTATCCCAAGCATATTGACCTTAGTGAAATTAATAATGTTAGTACTTATAATAATAAATTCTAATTTAAAAAAAGAATAATAAGAATAAAATACATTGCAAAGTTTTGGCGACAGTTAAAAATCTCCGTTCAGTGACCCGTTCTTTTTTAAACTCCACCCGCATCGCGAGGCTGTGATAAAACTTTCAATTGTTTTAAAATTAGAACTGTGTCATCGGCGCCATTTTGCGATTTTATAGAAGTGAAGAGGTTGTAACTTGTAAGTGACAGGTTTATCCAAATTCAATTTTAAGATAACTTTGTAGATGTATGAAACTGTCTCGAATACATTTAAGATGAGCAACTGATATGAGTGGCCCAATTCTGGCAATTGTGGATGCAGTCCAATAGATGCAAGGTTGTATTTAATAATAAACATCAAATTTCCCCACTGTTCTGATTATAATATTTATCATAGTAAAATCTATCGTGTATGATATTGGATCTACGGTAAAATACGTACGATCTTTACAAAATTTTCAAACCAGTTTTCTGAACATTTCTTTAGTTTTCAAACAATTATATATATGTATTCCAATATGTAACCAATAAATAATAATCATGACAGTAGCTGTTGCATTAAATAATAAATGAAATCTATTCTACATAAAACATAAAACATCTCTAAATAGACATCAAACTTTAAAAGTATATTTGTCATAATAAATTCATAAAAAGGAAGTTGGTTACCATGGTATAGGCATAAGCGTCAGCGGATAATTATAATATAATATATGTTTACCTGTGGTAAGATTATACACAATATAATAGTGTAGTATTTTAATAGTTTACAATTGGTTTTTAAATAAAACCAAAATAATAATATCTTAACGTCTCAACTCGCCATTTTAAAATGTTTAATAAATATAAAATTACAAAAGTAAAATGTCCAAAAACAAAGTTTTCGTGTTGATTATAAACTCCTCGTTGGAACATTTATGTATCTCAAATATCTCACTGTATCATACATGATATAGGAGAGTTCACCTTGCTTATTTATTGGGGCCGAGACCCAAGAGGAAGTTATTGAAAAGGTTCGCGCGATATATTGCGGTGGCCCTCCCTATGGTACTCCAGGGGAGTGTGGCAATTGGGAGTGACATTTTATTCGTAATGGACGCCAGCGCTATTAATATTTGATATGTTTTTGTTGGTGTACCTTTGGTTTATTACGGAGATTTAAAAAGCGTTTTTTCAATTAGTTCTTTCTATCTTAACTAACAATATAGTATTTAAAACCAATTATAATTTATGTATATAACACAATGTACACGTATGAAGGGCAGTAAAAAAATAATGCTTCTAAATTTACATTTACTGTCAGTTGTCAGTACAAGGGTGCAGAACGGACGAGAAGAATTGGCAATAAACTCTCTGGCACTCTTTTAAATCGTCTAGTATTGTTTAAATTAAATATAGGTTACATACCTATAATAATGGATAGACCAAATCTATTTGTAGTAAAGTTGTTCCACCTCATAGCGTAGTTTATGGTTGTAGCGATACTGGATATATTAATTAGACTGAAGATACCGTATCTGTTGCCATGGTAACTATACTTTTTAATGTCACCATGGCAACGTTTATTCTACGTCTCTAAAAGGTCGATTGTCTTTCCTAGTTCATACTACGAGTATACTATGTGCGCTGTAGCATAGTGCGGGTGACAGTTGCGTAATTTTTCTTTCAATTTGATTTTATTTGTAGACTAGAACATTCTGGCTGGGTTAAATTTAAGTTACTACAGTTATTAATGATTAAATATATTACGAATGTGGTACAGCTGAAATACTAAGTCATAATTTGTAAATCGCGGCAACTTTCAAGAGTAAAACGAAAAATTAAGCAACCATGCCACAGCGCACATACCATAGTGTTAAAAGGTTTGTTACAAACCTTTTGCTAACAAGCCAACGAGTTCATCTAAAGGAACTGCTATTCAAATTACAAAGACAAAGAGTTGTTGAGTATTTTTCAAAAGCTCAGTAATTAGGTTAAGCTATTAATTAGGCCCATTATGCTATAATCAACTTTTCCCTTTACTTACGAGTTTCTTTGTAATCCTTAATGAGCGCTTAATAAGTCGAGCTTTTTACTATGCAATTTGCTACTTATTTTTATATGCAGGTAAGTTTATTAGTTTATAGTTACTTGGTTATTAGAGTTGATTTTTAAATTTAGTTTTTTATTAAGTAACATTGTTTTAGTTAATATAAAAAAAAATCAGTGGTGCTACAACCTCTTTAGGTCTTGGCCTCAGATTTCTGAATCTGTTTTATGAACATTTTTAAATCTAATAGGATACTATCAGGCAGTGATCAGCCTCCAGTGCCTGACACACGCCGTCGACTTGTTGGGTCTCAGACATGTCGGTTTCCTCACGATATTTTCCTTCCATGGTTGTTTTTCGTCCATTGGTGCACAGCCGGGGATCGAACCTACGACCTCAGGTATGAGAATCGCACGCTGAAGCCACTAGGCCAACACTGTTCTATAGTTAGTTAATATGAAACTTATTTAATAATTTTATATTTTTTAACCCTGAATTTGCGAAGTCATTTCTTATACGTCTAAATTTTAACTTAAAAATTAATATAAGTAAAATAATATTTTGTTAATTTTACCGCGAAAGTCAACCGGGAGTAAAGTTATAAGACTATTGTTAAATGACATAATAAATACATAGATTAATAAATATATTAAGTATTATTTATGATGATCATTGGAGTATATTAATTAATTAATTATCCAAACTAAACACAGATTAAAGAGAAAACTATACACTATGATAAATATATTTATAATAAGACATTGCTAAATTCTAGTAATTTACGGTATGGTATTATGTATTTTTGAAATCCTGACTAAATCTACAATTATTATTGACTTTTTATGATATTTCTTTGTAAAATATATATTAAATGATACTATGAATCACAGTTTAAACTG